AGTTGTCAAGCTGCCGAATATAAATCACATGACCATGGGGATGCTGCAATGGTCATAAGTGTGAAAAATGGTCTTAAGTCACTCTTTTCAATGCCATGGTAACTTTGAATGGTCACTAAACAAATTGTTGTAAGTCGAGGATTACTGTACTCGGTAAAATAGAATGTTTATTTAAATAAAGCAGTTGCTTTTGCAATGAATTTATGATAGGTGAATTCTCAGTGAGAGGGAGACAGAGGGCCAGAAAAAGCCTTTTTATGCACTGTGTAGTAGAATGAATGTATTACAGAATACTTTAAAGTGCATGAAGACTAGAGATACACAGCTCCCCGAATCCTCTTGCATAGTATTTACAAAATCACATAAATCATAATATGAGTTTATGAATTTGCAGTCTCATCTGGAATGCTTGGCAACTGTAGTAAAAATGAGAACACTACATATTTCAAACCATACATTTGCATGACCACAGGCTATAAAAAATGGGGGAAGGGGGGGAAAGGATGATTTATCAAATCTGTTATAGTTTGATTCCTAGCTTTATGAATATTAAAGGACTACTGTACATTCAACAGTATAGAAGTTGGGACTTATGCAACTAATATTCAGCTTGGCCCTTGCATTTAAAAGTATTTTAAAGAAGAGGAAAAGAGAAAAAGATTTGTGGACTACAATACCGATCAGCAAAGAACACAAAGAATTACAATATATACAGCAGATTTACTAACAGCAAGTGGGTCAATGGGACTTTTGTGACCATCTGAATTTGTTGAAAATCAACCTTCTATTTAGGAATAAAAACTAATTTCTATTTTTTTAAAAAAGAATGTTATACTAAGAATATTTGTTCACTTAAGACCACATCCACTCATATTTATACTATATAGGCATAAATAAAGCTTATACAAATTTTTCCGTTTAATATATTTCTTTGTGTATTTATCATAAAAATGTCAAAATACAGTCATGCAAAAAGTAAGTACACCCTATTTATTATTTTTACTTTTTCAACATATTTCCATATACATACAGTATATTTCATTTTCACTTCAACAATATTGATAAAGGGGATATCTTACAACAAATATCAGACCTCATTTACATTTTGTGGTTCAATGCGTAAGTTAAATAAATATAAATTCAAATTTTACAAGTGGAGAAAGTAAGAGCTCCCCTACTTTTATTACTACCTCAAATATTTAAAGCGAAAAATGGCAAACGATTAGAAAATAACTGGAGAGGACTGGGAAGAGCCTCTCGTATTTTAATCCCAGAGATTCAGTTTGATTTGCTCTTCGTTGGTGAAGTATATGGTATCATCACACTTATAAGGCATTCATAAAGAAGGTTGTAGAGGCTAATGTGTCTGGGAAGGGATTTTAGAATTAGACATCAATGATTTTACTGTTCAGAAGATATGTAAGTGGAACAGCTTTTAAATAACTGCCAACTTAGCCAGACCAGGCTGTTCCCACAAGTTTAGCCTGACAGCAGAATTCAAGATTCTGTATGACATACAGGCACCTCTTGGCACTATTGATGTCAAAGTACAACAGTGTACTATTAATTAATTAATTAGTTTGCTGCCCATCTTACCATGAGATGATTCTGGGTGGCTTACAAGGTTAAAAGAATAAAACTATACAAAAACATGTATATAACAAATAAAATACTATAAAAATACAAATTATCAATTATATTTAAAAGAAACGGAGGAAGGTAGTAGGATGAGTGGGGGGTGGGGGGAGGTGGAATCTTTTGTTAATCTATCAACCAACTCCAGTATGACTTTCTCCCATTGAAGCCCCAGGACCTGGGCAGCTGATCATTACAGAATCCATTATGAATTTTTCATTGTAGGAGAAGGTGTTTAACAATAATGTGATACTATCTTGCAGAAGACTGAAACTCAAGCAGAAGAGAAAGAAAGAAAGAAAAGAAAAGAAAAGAAAAGAAAAGAAAAGAAAAGAGAAAAGAATGAATCCTGGAATGGCCAGGTCAAAGTCCAGATCTAAATCCCATTGAGATGCTATAGAGTGATTTGAAATGGGTTGTGGATGCAACATTGCACAAATGAAAAAATTCTGCAAAAAGAAGTGGGGGAAAAATTCCTTCCAGGCAATGTCAGACACTAGTAAATGATTGAAAAAATGCCAACTTGAGGTTGTTTCTGTCAAAGGGTCACTACCACAGATATACTTTACCTTTTTCATAGAAGAAAACGGTATATCTATTAATTTTTTGGTGAAATAAATGATTGCAAAGTCATTTTTTTCCTTTTTTAAGTTCATTTAAGTCACCTTTATATATTATTTAAATTAAGAAAATATATATATATATATATATTTCCATATATATCTGAGAAAACTTTACATGGGGTGTACTTACTTTTTTCACATGACAGTATAGATTGGGAATGCAGCTGTTTTTAGAGAAACAGTGAATAAAAATTCAAGAAAGAAAATCATACAATCTATCATGCAGTACAAATATTTGTATAAGTGGTCTCCTAGAAATCTGTTCTGTGACCTTGAGATACTTTCAAACATCCCAGTGCTGGCTTAGCTAAGCTTTTTTTTTTTTCCTAAAGTGGGGCTGGAGTTCACCAATTTTTAAGGTGTGGGCGAGAGGAACGGCAAATAAATAAATAAATACATTGTGCTGGAAGGAAATGAGAACCTTTTTGAGCAATCTCCCAGTTCAGACTTTCAGCACTGCACTTTTTTTAAAATACAAGGATGTACCGAGGATTGCTGTTCCATATAAGCAGCTGTTGCTTAGTGATACCAAAACTGAAAGCAAAACAAAAACAAACAAACAAACAAAAACCCTGGCCCAGAGGTGATGACAGCCAATGTATCAAGATTGTGATGTTCAAAAGTAGTCCCTCGTGACGTCTGGTCTCTATGCAAAACAGTATTTTCAAGATCCTCTGAGAAGTGCAGCACTAAAGAGAAAGTGGACCAAGAGCGTCATGGTTTTTGCTCTCATCCATCTGTAAAGAAGCGAAGGGGGAAACCTCACGTGCATACACTTACTTCTCTTTTAAAATCACTACAGCTGCTGCAACTATAAAGTTACATCAGGTGAGTCATTACAGCACTTTTCCAAACATGCAAAACAACTAATTTCCTGATTTTATTTCTCTTTGAGTAGTGCATCTTCAAGGCCACGGTGTATCAACAAAAGTCTCTCTCCACTTGTTTCCATGTCTATAATTGGATTCAGTTACCTCACATCCAGTGCTGGAAAATAAAAAACAAATCCTTATTCAAAATACGAGCTTTCTTCTCTTCTTTCGTTTTACAACAACACTGAACATCTTGCTCATGAATTACTTTTATATTTCCAAAATGAAAGGAAAGGTGAAAGGATAACTGTAACATCATCATTTCATAGGAATGTAAAAATTGCACAACATTTTCACAATTATTTTCAGTTTCCCCAGCATTTATGTAAATACATTTTTCATGTGTGACAGATAAAAACCTACTGGATCATCTTGAATAATAAAAGAAAGAAAAGATAGTTGTTTACATTTAGGGAAGGGTTTTGCATCTGATGATGAGTCATGAGACTTCTTTTTCTAATGTCTGTCATTTTCCAGGGACAGCATTCAGCAACCTCAATAGATTATTGTACGAATTTAAAACACAGTGCGAATATACGCTATTGCATGAGTCTTTAGACTCACCAAATGTATTTAAATTAACTATAAAATTAGATAATGATTGTGTTACCAAGTTTGAGTATACAAATTTATTTTTTGACTGAATCTAAAATAAAAATTTGTATGTGGAACAAACTGATGAAACAGTCATTATTATCCCACTGATTAACTGCTTGACTGCATAAGACCTAATTACTTACTAGTTAGGCCGCAGTGAAAGATTAATTAATCTCAATCCCCATGTAATGGATTTAGTATAAAATAAAAATCAATGAAGTCTGAAGTAAATAGCAAGTCAGAATGGAATCTGCACACACAATATGAACATTTGTTCAATTATTTTCCTTTCAGATGATTGATGGCAATTACGGCATTCTCTACTACTAAGCCAGTAAAGAAAAATACATTTTACAGACTGCATGCTTGAGTCACTGCAGTCAGTTTCATAGCTATAAATTAGTGAAATGGATCTATGTTACACAGATCTTACATACATAAAAAACAAAGTCCTTTTAATTTATATATCTTTGTTTCCATAGTACACTGGTTTGTCTCACAAACATGACTCTTTATGTTACTGGATGTAATAATCAAAATGGCAGGTTATACCAAGTAGAACCCCCAACTCAATGTTAAAATATAAAAGGATCCTATTCCATATACTCAGCCAGGCTCTTTACCCTATGTCCTATGATATGCCTTTCACCTCTGTACCAGTCATTATATACATTCAATACTCATTATTACGTGTTAAAAATCCCTGTTCTCCCAAACCTGTAAGTTTTCATACTTCCTCAAAAGTTGAGTAAGTCTACTGACATTTCCCCCTTTAAATATAGGCCTTGAAAGGAATAATATTCAGAGAGCTAGCTTTTTCTAACAATAAATAACCTTATTTGCTGTACACAGTGTTTCTCAACCTTTGCAACTTATAAGACCAGACATCTTAAAGTTGTTAAAGTTGAGAAACATTGCTATAAAATGTCAGAGATAATTGCAGGTTTTAAAAATATAATGAAAATATTGCAGAGGAGGGATTATTGGTGTTTTCATTTATACATACAACTGTATTATTATCAATAACTTTGAGCATTATGACAAGAAGTAACAGTCAGCACTGCAACATCTGCTAACACTAGAGTGTACTTCACACAAATAATTATATAGTTTAAGTTTTGGACAAATCCTTTGCCCAGTGCAGAATTTCCCCAGATAGCAGCTTCACAATTATTCTATTGATTAAAATATACTAAATCTTAGGAAATTGCAAAATCTCTGAGATTGTGATGTTCTGACTAAAATCTTTTCAAATCCTTTTGAGGGGAAAACCCAAAATTTTGCACAATTGCACACTTTGGCACTATATTGAGATCTTAGCTATTTTAAAATTATTTTATTTTGGCACCTCTATGAGGCCACTTATGGTACCCACATGGACCATCAGTGGTTGCTTGACCATGGATAGGAGTAAACATTATATCTAATGTGACACAGCCTGGGATGCTTCATCTATGAATTTATATTAAACATAAGAACATAAATTTTCTCTGCTCCCAATGGCAATAAAAACCCCATCAAATTGAACCATTCCCCTCAAATTCCCTATATATTCCAAGGACTTGGAAAAAATTCTCTTTACACTAGCTTAGAAACAGACAGAAGCCCTACAGCATTATTTTCATGTGGAGTTTTGAAGTTCGACAGTTTACAGACATTTTGGGAGATAACTATGTTTTGCTTGATATGCCAGAGGAACGGGGATATTTAGTGTAATAAACAGCTTTCTGGAGCCATTGTGACAAAAGTAACACTGAACAACAAAGATTTTGCTTCCTGAACACTTTTGGGCATATCTAAGATTTTTGGCTGCTAATCATGAAAATAACCTTAATTTCACTTAATAATTGGTGAACAGTGTGTTGTCTGGGTTACATTTGTAAAACAATCACTAACAATTGATTTCTATAATCCATAATCCACTTAATAGTTTTAGTTGATTTCCTCTTTTCCCAAAATATCCTCTTTTGCAAATATTGAGTTAATACAATTCTTATTGTTTTGATAGATAACAATTAAATATATATTTTTCCCAATTATTAAAAATAATAATCACATCAATATAATATTTCTTTTCTATCCAATCATTCTGGTTGCCTTGTCATAGATCCTGTTACAGTCCTTATTTTAATTTGTTTCTCCCACTAAATTCTAGGTATTCTTACCGGTTAAGATTTTCTCAAAAATTAATTACATTTAAAAATTTAACTCTATTTTTCCATATGAACCATCTCACACTTTTACATTTCTTAAGAAATAGATAAAACAGAAGAAAAAAAAGCAATAGTAAAGAAGTATAAAAAATAACATACTACTTAAAATATATATCCCTCCTAAGCTAATATGTATTTATTTCCTAAATTTCTTATTCTTTTTAACCATAATTAAAAATACGTTTAATTCTCTCTGGTAAGTCCCATCATCTATTTTCTTAGTTTCCACTTTAGTCTTTTTCTTTTGCTCAGTGTCTTTCTTAATCAATGTATTTTGCTGAATCAAAAAGTTTTTTCATATGTTCGTAAATGTTGCTGTAGATATAAAAAGTAAATCAGGAGAAGTATCTTTGTATGGGACTTCTGCCTTTCCATGTTTGTTGAAAATCTTTTTCTTTTTCTTTCTCTCCGCTTCTCTTATCATTTCCTTTCTGTCCAATGTTCCTGACATCTCTACAGTCCATTTTATCCGATCTGTTTTCTTATCCTCAGATTTATTTTGTAGTTTTAAGGGATAAGTTGTTTTGTCCAATTCTTGTGAATTTTTTTCCACTAGGATTAAATCATGTTTCCTTGTTTTGTTAAGTTCCATCTTTAAGTCTCTATTCTCAATTCTATATCCATTATCTGTTTTATCTGCTCCTTCTGTGTTGTTGTTTTCTGGGAATTTTTTGGTTGTAGAGTTAACTTGGAAATAGATTGATTTATATTTTCAAAATTGTTTTGGATTTCTTTGTGGTTTAAATTCATTGTTGTTTGAATTAGTGCAGAATACTATATATCTCCTCCTGTGACGTATTTATGTTTTCTTGATATGTTCTTTCTACATGTCTATGATCCATGATAGCCAGGAATTTGAGTTTTCCTCTTCCTTCCTTTTCTCTGTAAATAGCTTTAGAGTCCCAATTAGATAGATATTTGTAATCCAAATAGTTCAAAAAAAGATTTTTTTTTCTGAAATTTATAATTCTCTCTTTGTCTACAGCCCAGCTCTTTGTCCTTTTTTTGTCACAGCTGTTCTTTGATATTAAAGCTTTGAAGGTCACAGATATAGATTAGCTTTTCCCAGATTTTGCCAAGTCTTATATTAAAGTTATAGTTGTCATAGTCTTCATCTGCCACTAGGTGTCAGCAGCTATTTGTTTTTCAATTTCCAAAATGAACAATTATCTCTGAAATGAGAGTCTTAACCATTAAAACAATTTTAAATTTATCCAGGTTTAAGTTTTAAGTTTCAGGTTTTATATTTATTTCACTTCCATGTATTTTGATCCTCCAAAAAAAGATTAACTCGCCACTTCCGTTAGTATAAGGGTGGGACGGAAATCCCCCTCCTTCCCTTTCGGAGGTATTTTGCTTCTTGGGAAACTTTTCCAGGAAATTAAATGTAAAATAGAAAAGAGAAGATCAAATTCCTCACCCAATTTCAAGCACGCTGTTCACAGTTGTGCTGGTTAGTGCTTTTGGACTTTGGTTGCAAGTAGCTTGGGCTGGTCGATGCAATACGGCCAGCCTTTCTCCTGTCGGGTTAGAAGGCTTTCCCCAAGTCAAACTGAACGGTTGCCACCGTTCCAGAATCACTGGAGCACCCTTCTTTCTTCGTTGCCTCTCCAGGGCAACTTAGACCCATTTAGGGTGCCCTGGCAGGGCGAAATTAGCCACAGGGGTGCGGAGAATCCGCATGCCCATGACCAGTCGCTACCGCGCAAAACCGGAAGTCCTGTTTCCATGTATTTTTATGTGATTGTTTTAAGGCACTGCAGAATCTATGCATGTGTAATTTACATAACAAGTAAGCCAGTTATAGGCTTGTTATAGGACAACTGGTGATAGCAGAAATGCCTCATTCATGTTGGAATAATTGTGGTATGTTTTACATTTGTGGCAAGTACAGCTTAAGCCTCAAAGATACACCACAACTGGACTTGTTAAGGAAGCGTATGAACTGTGCTCTGGTTATAAGATTGGTGAGCGAGACAACAGGGTTCCTCACGTTTGTTGTGCAAGATCTGCTGTTCATCTTAGACCTTGACCCAGACAAACTTGGAAGTCAATGTCATTTGCTATCCCATTGATATAGCGAGAACAGAATGATCACATGAAAGACTGTTACTTCTGTCTGATTAATGTCACTGGCTCCTCTGCTAAAAATAAGAAATAAATTAAATACCCCAATCTGCCTTTAGCCATACGACCAGTGCCACATGATAACAATCTCTGAGTACTAAAGCCATCACAGAAATGAAGCTTAGATGAAATAGATGAAGATGCTGCAATGCACCAGCCAGGAAGGAACAATGACAACAATCTGGATTTTGAAGTGTGTTTATCTGGTGAGCCTCATCTCATACACAATCAAAATTAAATGATCAAAAGCAGGACTACTGGGTTCAAAACCACTAGAATTGTATTCGTTATCACCAGTACAAAGCTTTCTATCTTTCAAAGCTCCCAGGATTATTTAACAAGTTTATTTGCACGGGTTGACAACCTCGTTTTTTGTATGACATGATGACTTGTTCACAGTTTTGGGTTGTGAGCATGACCCACTAGAATGGCATCTCTTTATTGATTCATCAGTGTTAAGCCTCAAAGCTGTCTTGTTACACAATGGCAATGTACATCATTCAATTCCTACTGGCTATGCTGCACACATGAAAGAAACATATGAAAACAAGGAACTGTTGTTGAAGCATATCCAGTACACCAAGTGTAACTGGAATATCTGTGGATATCTAAAAGTACTCTCTCTGCTGCTTGCAATACAGCTTGGATATACCAAGTACTGTTGTTACATATGCAAATAGGACAACTGTGCAAAAGAATCACATTACATGAAAAAGAAATGGCTACTCCAAAAGAATTTGGTTCCAGGCCAGAAAAATGTGATACATGAACCACTTGTTAACTCAACAAAGATATTTTTGCCTCCCCTTCACATAAAACTTGGACTAAAGAAAATGTGAGAGCAATGAAGAAGGAAGGTGAAGGTTTTCATTATTTGAAACAGATGTTTCCAAGAATAACTGATGGCTAAGATTAAGGAAAGCATTTCTGTTGGTCGAAATGTGCTGTTCATCTTAAATCTTGAAGTTTGAAGATCTGTTAGTGGGTGAGATGAAATCACCTGGGAAGCATTCAAGGATGTTGTTGAGAATTTTCTTGGCAACTGCAAAGCACCAAACTATATTCAGCAGGTTGACAAGTTTCTTACAGCATACAAGGAATTCATCCATGCTGGCTGACTATTGTTGGACACTGCAGTGAAATGCATCAGACACTGCGTACAAGTGAAAATCAGCAGCAATACACTTTTAGGCTGTTGAACTCAGGCAGTTTGTTGGAAACATTGTGCAATTAAATAAATTATAGTCAATAAAAGTTAATTTCATATTTTTCAAGATTCCTATATGATTTTGAAATCATATTTGTGTTCAGTCTGAAGGGGTCTATCATAATTATCAAAAGATTTTCAGGAAGCAAAACCTTTGAAAAAATTTGTCCAGTGTAATATGTGCCAAGATTCTGAAAAATAAGAAAAGTAATGGTTTGCTGTATATTGCTGCTGCACATTAGAAAAAAAACAAGGTCTATGGTTGTGAGATATAGGAGCATAAGTCATAATGTAAAGTTAATGTCTTATTGGGATAAGCCTATAATACTAAATCATGTATTCCAAATTCTATTTTAGAAATACGTAGAACAAAAGAATATCTATGTCATATTGACAAAAATGCATCCAAAACACAGACAATGGCTACTCACCATCATCATTCTAACATCACTCCTTTTGCATCTTTTGAAAAAGCAAGCAAAGAGTTAGTAGTTAGTCAAACAAACAAGAACGGAATAGTTCAAGCATGCCATAGTTCCATGTAACATGAAAGAAATGAAAGCACCATTAAAAAAATACCTCTCGATAATCCAAAAACAATTAACATTCCTCTTGATTTTATATCAGCACAAGTGCTTCCAAATCAACTGATCAAATAAGAAATTGGAGATCCAATAGCAAGACAAAAAAAGCACAGCATAATCCCAGAAATTCATGCACCGCATGCAAAAGGCAAGATATCTACCTTTAAGAAGAAATCTCTCTTCACATTAAGAGACTGATTCTTTTGACTGAGCAACTTATATGATCACTATCCCATTTATCCTAAAAAAAATACCATCCAGCAGACATACCAAAAACTACTGCACTGCAAACCATTTAGTAGCACTTGAAATGACCAGATCATCAGTGATTTGATGCCATGATTCATGTTACATTATCTTGCATACATATCTATTTCTAAGTGGCACCAACAGTCATTCTCTGATGTCAATCAAAACACCAATACCAAATCTTCCAAACTAGGCAAAATTACCACCTACCATTAAGTGATTCTTCAACAGCTTTCTGTAAAATATTTAAAATACATAAAAGCTTTCAAGTCTAGTTTGGAGGTCCAAAATTAAACAACTCTAATTGATATATACAATAAATAGTGATTCTATAAAAGAAATAAAAGAGGCAGCAAAACATTAGAAAGATTAGTGACAGGTTTGGTTATTTCCAGGCTATAAACGATGATAACATGTCTGTTTCAGAAGTTCTTCAGTGGCAATAGCTTCTCTTTACAATTTAGCAGTAATGCAGAAAACAAACACTAGAAAGAACAAGTAGTTGTATTCAGCAAGATTGCGTCTGCAATGACATCTGTGGAATACATTTCATTTAACTGGTAGCAAACTACAAATCACAGAAACAAACTGAAGAACCAAACCAATGCTTCTTTCAAACATATCAAAACTTTAACAAAGATAGTACTGGCTATATTTTTGTCAAAATATTGAAGTACAACAGCATTACTGCTTTAATGGTGGCAGCTCTTTTTCCTAAAGTGTAGTTAAGGAAAGGGATGTGATGACCTCATCAGGAATATACAATGCTGTAATTGTAAAATACCAACATGCACCCCATTTCTTTTTATTTCAATTAATTTCAATAAATTTATTATTTAAAAAAAAGATATCACTAAAATGGCCAAAAAACCTGGACGCTAAAAGTCTTGTGAATGCTTTGTTAACCGCATTCGTTTTGGCCAGGCACTATTTAAACTGGACTAAATTTTGTCTTTGTATATTGTGTGTGATTTTGGCTTAGGTACAAAGCATAGATCTCAGTGCCTAATTTCTATTTGTGTATTTTTTTTTCAGCCTGAATCAGTCCACTGGACTGTTTGTTCATCTAGTCCAGTAAAGGTAGATATGTATTTTCTACTTTCCAGTCTAAGGCTGAGAGAGAATGACTGGCCCAAAATAACTCTGTTGGTTTGTCTGGCTAGGGGAAGATTAGAACCTGGGTCTCCCCAGTCTTAGTCTAGTACAGTGGTGGCGAACCTATGGAACGGGTGCCAGAGGCGGAACTCAGAGCCCTCTCTGTGGGCACGCACAGCGTCGTCCCAGTCCTAGGCCTTCAGCTGGGTTTTATAAAACCTTTTCACTTTAGGCCTCCGCCACTATGTACAAAAAAAAAAAGGTTCAATCAATCAATTTCAACTTCTCCGGAATAAAAAAAGATCTTGCAAAGTTGGAATTGATTGAACTTTTTAGTCCCACCCAGTCTGCTGTTACCACCACAGCCACACCCACCCAATGGGCCACACCCACCCAGCACCCGATGATGCATAAGTGTGTTTTGGGTTGCAGTTTGGGCACTCGGTCTCTAAAAGGTTCGCCCATCACTGGTCTAGCACATTCGCCACTGCACCACCCTGGCTCTCAGACAGATAGTAGGTTATATTAGTATATTGACAGACAAGACATGCACAGACACACATGCTTTACACACAGAGAGAAAAACTGAGTCTTTACCAGTTAAAGTTTGTATTTAACTGTTTCTTGTTTTTTTTTAATTGAATTATACAGATAATTTAAGAACTTTCCAGAAAAAGGGCACACAACAGAATAAGCTATAAATCAAGAAAATAATACAACTGGCCAGCCTAGACCAGGATGCCAACAAAACCTGTATTAAAAGGATTTGTATGACAATTTTTTTTTCATGTATTGTTAGAAAACTAGTAACAATAGACTAGAAATTAAGTTTAGGAATTATTTCAAATTTAATGAATCTAAGCATAAAGATTTGGCTAATGCCATTGCAGACGTAATACCATGGTATGGTTAAAGCAAGCCAGAAGAGACGGGTTCACAAATAGGACATGGACAGGTATAAGAAACGTGTCACCCAATTTTTCCTCTGCTATTCTAAAGTTAACTTCTTCACTATGTCCAAGTGCAAAACCTGACATACCCACAGTAGTGCACTGTACATTACGCACCTGTTTTAAGGGAAAGGGCTAGAAAATTCATTTGCTGCCAGACTAAGAAAGAAAGAAAGCCAAAGAGTGGTTGAAGTGTGATGACTGAATTGCAAGTAGTCCTGGACTTGCAACTGTTAATGGAATCTGCCCATTACATTTGTAAGTTGTGAAGCTGTAAACCCATGTGACCAACCCAATTTTGCAATTTTTTTTTTGCGGTGCTCTTAAAGCAGATTCTATTATCGCAAATCAACTGCCATGGTTGTTAAGCAAACACCACAGTTGTTAAGCAAACCAATGATTTGTTACAGGTTGGTTTTGGTGGAAACCAGAAATAAATGCTGTTTGTCATGCAAAACACAGTTTATATGACTGCAGGATGCTGCAACTGGCTATAAATACAGGCTGTTTGTACAGTCAGTGGTGGGATTTAGCCGGTTCACACCGGTTCAGGAGAACCGGTAGCTAAATTTACTTGAATTTGGAGAACTGGCTGGCTTCCAGAAGTCCAGTCTAGGCTTTGGAGGCCTGGAGGAGGCCTCCCAGACCTAGAACGGCCCAATGGAAGTGCATGATGCCACTTCTGGAAGTCTGTTCTAGGTATCGGAGGCCCAGGCCTACATCAAATAAGAGAACCGGTTGTTCAGGTATTTGAATCCCACCACTGTGTACAGTGCCTGACATGGTCACATGTTCATGGGGGAGGGTGGCGGCCATCAGAACTTTGGAATCATAAATATCCAAGGAAGTCCACTGTAACTTCAAATGATTATTAAGTGACCAATCATAAGTCGAGGACTACCTGTATTAAAAGGATTTGTATTACAACTTATTTTTTCAGGTACTGTTGGGAAACTAGTAACGATAAACTCAAGTAGTACACTGAGTTACAGAAAAGGCCTAGATGTCAAACACTAACATCCTATCTGCATTTTATTAGACACAGACTTGCAACAATGTTCACAAGTTCAACCAACTTCCTACTTTCCATGCATATCAAAGGAAAAGGAGCACAATAAAGGCAGCATAGATGAAAGACAGTAGAGATGGCATCAGTAATCATCTCAGGCAACAGGTACTCTCGTTAAACTTTGCATCGTAATTAATTAATGAATTAATTTCCATAGCCACCCATCTCAATGTCTCTCGATGGCTTACAATCCCAAATCTTGCGATTTCATGTGGTCTCATTAAGAACCAAACAATGTTGTAATATTTCAGATGTATTTGTTTGTTTCAGGATGGCCACTTTAGCACACCCTCTGAGAGCTCCTGGCTGTCCATGGATTTGCATCACCCATTACTATTGTGCAGTCATGCTTCTCCTATAAACCATCTTTCTAGGAACACTTTTTCAATGTAGCAGAATATACGCATCTAAAGTTGTAGTTCATAAAGATCTTATAGTACAGGGAAGCAAGAAGCAAGGCTTGGGAACACTGTGGGCATGCACACAATTATTTTCTAAACACTTCATAATATGATACTGGCTTTCTTCAATCATCCAAGAATTTATAGGGGGTCACGTAAGACAATAATTCACATATTTGCATTGCTTGTACCAGTTATCCAAAACTTAGCAAAATATGTGTCTTAAAAATGCAAATACTGTATTCAACCATAACAACATAGCAGCAAAACAATAATTAAATTATAAAGCAGAGACACACAAGCAGAAAAAAAAAGTATAGGGAGTTAACACTGTAGTTGATTTAATTTGTTAAATTTTATTTTAGTCAGGTGCACACGTAACTAAGCTTTTATTTTGTCCCACTTCTTTGTATTAGCTTAGCTACTTTTTTGATTGTGGCCACTGACATGCCACTCAAAACTGGCCTCCAGTTAGGCTGGGATGGAGTAAGGGATTACAGTATGCAGCACTGTTGGAGAATATACATTCTATTCTTTAATAACTAATTCTTTAATAACTGTTTTTTAATAACTAAAGCTATTCTTTAATAACTAAGCATGAACAAGTCAACTGCCATTTCAGGGTTCAAACCCTAAATTAATTAGTATGACTGTATTTTTCCAACATTTTTGGATTTTGTTTTTTAAATAGTATTTCCTCCATAAATGGTATTTTAGTTTTTTATAGCTTTAATATAAAAAGAGAGAAGGGAAAAATGATAAGAGAGACTGTATAATGACACACAGAGGAAAAAAGGTGAAAGAAACCAACAAATGAGTCCACTGGAGTTGCATAGCTTATAGATTCAAATAAAATTGAATGAATTAATGAATGAAAATGTAATTAATATATTACATTCAGAAAATAATTCGACCTAATTTTAAATACCTCATTAAATCTTCACCATATGGAATAATATAATAATACCAATCACCCACTGACAGAGCATCCTGATTCCAGTGGATAACTGATCAAGCTGCAAGTTATGTTTGCATTTTGCAGTTTCAATATGAAACACAGTAAGAAAAGATATTGCCAGAAAGAATTCTTACAGAGTAGAATGAAAAATGTGGAAACCCAGGTTTAATGAGTTCCAAGAGAACTGATACTGACTTGATGGCACATAATCAATAAAGATCTTTGAAGAAAGTATAGATAGCCAGTTGGTGACAACACACATTCTTGCCATGTTTTCTGTGGTTTTTGCTTGCTACCAACCTGCAATTATGAAAGCTCAGCATCTCATTACAAATTCCCTGAGCCATGTAGACACCCCAAATACATTAATGATAAGCTTACCCTTGGAGGCTGATGATCTTTCAAGTTGGAACCTAGGTTAAAAATATAATACACATTTTCTTATTAGATAATTAAAGCACAAATATCTAATCACTTTGCATGGGTGATTTCATCAGAATTTAAACCTACTGTTCCATTAATTATTTTTAAATAAGGGTTTATTTCTATCTTTCTGTTACTGCAATATGACATTGTTCATAACCTAAATTAAGGGAAACAAATAAGAAGCAAACCACTGCAATGTTAGGGAAACTCTAGTTTAATTGCCTAAGAGAGGAATGAAGATTTAACTGACAACTTCCTTCTACAATCATTTTTCTAAAACAAGATTAATCTATCAAAAATCTGATGATTCCAAAAAGGGTTTTAAACCCAGGGTTACTCTACCAGAAATTTGATGATTCCAAAAAGAGTCTTAAACACTTAAGCCTTTAAATGTTAACATATATTTCTCGGGTATGATTTGTTATGGGTTAATTTCCTTCTACCTGGAGCATAAACATACAGAAGACCATAGGAAGAAAACTGGGCAACTGAAACAATGGATTCTTACAATGGAAGCAGTGATACTGGGATACCGGAATCAAAGATGATCCTGGAATTACTATCTAATCTGATTACATGAAACAATTATTTCTGGTACAGATTATAGTAAATCTTCATCTCCTATCTCCTAGAATTCTAAGCATGCAGGAAGAAAATTAATGTTGTGTTAAAATAATCTCAACGTTCTATGATGACCCCACATTTTTTGTATCCCTTTGATGGCAGATGCATGATGGGGAAAAGAAGAAAAGATAAAATTGTTCTTTAGATGTGAAATCTATTCCTACAGTATATAATAGTTACAGACATTGTATGACAGAACTGTATATGTGAACTGGCTTCCAGGAATACACCAAACAATACTTATTGTAGATTGTCATCTTTGGTTTTTTTTCTCTGTTGATTGAAGATTTTTTCTACATTCTAGCTGGCACTACATATAAGGGCAATAACTCTCTACATCAAAGCTGGCTGAAATTATTTATTATTTAATGCAGTTTTAGATGGCTTTATTTTGTTATTTCAAAGCAGCCTTTTATCAACACCATCCTACATTAAACTCTTGCTGTTTAAATCAAGATATAATAATGGGACATCAAAACTAATTCTACTGTAGAACAAAGGGCCACATAAAGTGAAACTCTGGGAATTTGGAAAGAATTTGTCTGCAAGCCATCAATTTGAGTTCTCTGAAGCCCCTTTAAACTGTGCTACTGAAATTCAAAAGCAAAATGTCAATTTTATTGGATTTTTAACTAACTGCATTTAGTTTAAACTGTTTTAAACTAAAATAGAGTTTATTTATTTATTGGACTTCTATGCTGCCCATCTCAATACTATAGTGACTCTATTATATTTATTACAATATAATAAAAAATAAAAGTGCAAAAAGCAATTTAAAAATAATAAAAATTAAAATTAAAACCAAAATTATACATAGCCTTGGGGAAAGAATCTTCTCTATGCTATCGGGCACTCCCAATGTAGAGGGCCCCTATAGGGCCACAGGTCAAGCAGCAGAGACAATTTTTTAGACTCTTCTGGAAGGCCAGGCGTAGGGGGGCGGATCTCATCTTTGACAGGGGAATATTCCAGAAGCCAGTTATATCATGGGTAATATCATGGCTAGAGTTATTTCATGGGTGAGCAACCTTGCCCTATATCTCATTTTAAGGCTCCAGAGTACCTATGGATTGCACTATAGAAATTTCCTGATAACTCTGCCAACATTCTTTGATATATTTTTTCATTTTGCCCCAGAAAACTACAAAACAGGTTTTGTATCGTAAGCTATCCAACCTTGCACACTGAATATGGTCTCCTTCCAGAAAGAAATGTTTGGTTTTTTTTAGTGTTTTTCTGGTTTAATACTAGTATTTTGAATACAACATTGACCTTCTGGTCTGGGTCACTATCCTATTCCCTCTAGCCTTAGGAGGCCAAAATGGGGGAAACTGATCATCACTGTAATAGAGAATACTAAGCTAGACAGATCAAGTGGTTTGAATAAAAATAAAGCACGTTGTAGTACTTCTGTCTGCTGACTGAATGCACAAATGTATTATAATTATAATAAAGTTCCTAATGGGAACACATTGTAGGGCTACCATTAACCCATGATATAGTGCACCTCTTTCTCTTTGTACTATAATAGAAATAAAATTAGGTACCTGATACACCTTTGGAAGATTGTAGCAAACAAACCAATCATATATGTTGAGATATGCCCTTCACTGAAAAACATGTGTAACAACGCAATGCACTAATAAATTAATGGAAAACATATACTAAAAAATAACTCTAAATGTGACACTTGAGTAGATAATTCTGGACTCAAGTACTTCTCTGTATTTGTTATAACTCGGGATTAAACAGCCACTATTGAATAGTGCTTGTTTGACTTTTACTTGTTTAAATAGTCACAGTCGTGCCTTTGCTTATATTTCTACCTAGCATGATTAGTTCTCTATCCATGCAGCAGTGAGGATTTATGCATAAAGAAAATAATCATAGTCTGAAGTAACTATTGAGAGTAAAAGCTCCAGTTGCAGCATACATATTTTGAACATTTTCTATGGGCACAAATTTAAATATTCTATGGACATAAACAGAATGGTTGAATTCATACACTAATCCAATAATTTAAATATGGTTTGCTCAACAAGCCATAGTGCCCAGTCTTCACAAAATACTATGAAATGATGTCATCTCAAGACAAAACATGTTACAGTAATAGCACATTATGCTTAGCACTGTATCTGAATAAATTAAAAAGAGTAATTCTGTGCAAAGTAAAAAAAGAATTTATGGCATTACATGCAATGATAATACAGCAGTCATCTTTAATTTTTTAAGATACTGAATGTTAGACCATTGGATAAAAGTCTACAATCAACTGATCATCTGCACGCCTCTTAATGATGTTGAACCCTCCTTTAATTTTGGCTGATTTTTATTAATGTCATAAACTAATACCATAAATGTCATAATTTTTACTCTTTCACTCTAATCTATTATAAAGTTTCCTAATTTTCCCCTAATTGCTTGAGCTTCAAATATTCAAAAGTATGGCATTTTATGTATTAATAAAAATAAGTAATAAAATGCAAATAAAATGTTCCTGATCAAGGGTATATTAAAGCATATTCCAATTATGGATTGTATGAAATATATCATACAACTATTAATTCAACTAAAGGTCTTAAGTGCTGTTGTGGTGTTGTTATTGAGTCTATTACCAACCACACATTGCTATACTAGATTTCCCAATAACAAAGGCTACTTTTTCTAACTATATGTTCATTAAGCAATATTTTTTGTCAGAAGAAACTTGGCTAAATAGTAGAACAGCATATATTAAGTGTGATTCATTCATATATTTATATGTCTAAGGATAGATATATAATTATTTAAACTAAGTGGGTTAAAAAAAACATGCCCCATGTGACCCCAGATGATTGACTGGATTTAATTAAAATATATGTGAATCACATACAGGAAGAAAAAAATATGTTCTGTAGACACTGATTAAAAACAATAACCTTGCAAAGCTAACGTATGTCTGACATGCCACAATAGGGAAGGTTACACATTCTATTAACTTTCTTCATTCACAAAAAATGCTATGATCCAAATATTTGTTTTATAAAAAAATAAAAATTGATTGGCCAAGTATCTCTTTAAAAAACTATCCTTAATTGAATAGTTATGTATCATATAACTTAAGTTGAATATATATATATAATATTTAAATATACTTTAAGTAGCAAGAGGGCTTTCACACAGATTCAACACTGTGTTAGTTGTGCTTGTTCCTGACTATGCAATCACTCACATCAGACACACCTCATAAATGGGTTACTGCAATGTACTCCACATCAGGCTTTCTGTACAGAAGCTACAGCTGGTGCAGAATGCAAGGACATCCACAGTGATGAGCATGCTGTATTATGCCCATGTGATGCCAGTATTCAAGTGCAATTCCAGGTGACAGTTATTATATAAAAAGTCTATTATGACATACAGCCTGGATATTGATGTCTATGGAGATTCTCAGTCATCCAGGTCATAGTTGTCCCAAAGATGCTTTTCCACGAGGCAACTGGACTTTCTTGTTTCTCCTTTGAAAATGTTTCACTTCTCATCCAAGAAGCTTCTTCTTGATTTGAAAGAGGGGTCAAAGAGGTCATTTATGTCAAAACTGAACAGTCCTTTCTCAACAGAGGGGGAGGGATACGACATCTCCAGTCTACAACACAATCCTTTTAGCAGTTCCAAGAAAGCTCTACACCCATTTGCACTACTCAGGTGATCCTGAAGACACAGATAAACCTCCAAGTGGTCTCAACGACTCTTTAAAAGAATGCAAATGACCATCTGTCTGCAAGGAATATAAATCCTTCCTTTCTCCACCATCCACTCCAAAATGAAGAAGCTTCTTGGATGAGAAGCAAAACGTCTTCAAAGGAAAAACAAGAAAGTCCAGTTGCCTCGTGGAAAAGCATCTTTAGGACGACCTGGATATTGATGCACTGCCTATACCTGATATCTGTTTCTGCCCAATCAGCATGACTGGGCAGTGGGTTGCCTTCAATGAAAAAATGTCATCTACAGTATTGGAACTTAAGAAGTGTGTTCCTCTCTAATAATCCCTACCTTCTGGAACAGCATTCTATCAGACAGCCATACAGCTGCCACACTGATGACATTCAGAAAATCTCTGAAAACATTACTATGCATCCAGGTCTTGAGGTACGGTAGTAACTGAGTTGGATAATATGCCATTACACAGTTTGCCTTCTGAATGCTTATCATCTATTTCTTTTTCTTTTTTTTCTTTCATAATTCTTAATTTATTTTTTTTAAATAACATACCTAGAATCATCTGGGATCAAACAGTCTTTGTATGAAATAAATGAGTAAACATTTTCTTCAGAAATTACTTACCAATAATAATAATGTAAATTAAGCCAATTGCTCCTACAGCACCAATAATTGCTAAGCCTGCAATCAGAACAGATCCATGTTTTGGCTGACATGCTGTTGAGAAAAAGAGGTGGGCATTTAGATTAGCAGTGAAAGATTATGAA